CCAAGTTTTCAATATCTCTCCAAAGGATATCAATCTGTGATGAATATCGCCTTAGAATCTTTTCAATTCATTTTACCTATGCAACTGATATAATTTATCTGAAGAATAGTTGTTCGCTATAGATTTATTGATGAGTTCACCTTAGAACATAGAATACCTTGACAACGCATCGATTTTCACAGATTGATGAATACATCGTGTTTGGCTTTTTTTACGAATCTGATCAACCCACTCTTGTTTTAGACAAATCAGAAAACTGGGTTGTTCTTCCAAATCACCCCTTTCTTAATATGATGAATAGATGGAGAGGTAGAAAATGATTTTCTAATATTGATGTGGTAGTTTTTTAGGTGGGAATTCTTAATAAAAGTCATTCTTACCAAACTTGTCCAATCCCAGTTAAACTTATAGACCGTTAATTTTTCTTTTATGTCTTGTTGTTTGGATTTATTCGTAAATCTAATGTGTATATGTTTGGGTAGACAAGTAATTCAGTCTTTGGAGTTGGTGGAGATTTTACCTGGTCTACTTACTTACACTAAAGGACAAGTTACAGAAAATTCTCTTTAATTTGGAAGATGAATATTTCTGTCTTTCTCTCCCTCTATTTCCCTATTGACCATATGAGTCTGAACAACCGACCAACAGACCAAACATATCTACCACTTTTTTCATTCGCTGCCATTTGTTAGCCAGTGGTGTCTGTCACTGTTTGCCTCTTCCACCTACCATCTTTTCTTAGACCGGCCTAATTTTTCTCTCTACTCACATTTTAATGTTCATTATTCGCTTTCATCTAAGAGCATGTATGTCTGCGGAGACGTTGGATTCATTTAGACCTAGCTTTATATTTTAAAATACGGTTGAAGTATGAAGACTGGTCGCGTGTGTGTGTGTGTGTGTATGGATCCAGTAGGAACGATTTATTAGATCACGCATGGTCCCCCTTGATATACTAGGGTAAAGATGTTGATAGTGGTGAGCATTTGCTTACCAAAGGTAATATGGTAGAAAGACTGAGATATACTGGTGGTGTGGTGAAAAATGAAAAGAGGTTGAAGTCGCCTGCCTGAGTTTTGGTTGTTTTCCCCTTTTTTCCCCATGTATCTTAATACCAAAGGGTGGAAAGATGGGAAGTGAGAGGATGAGAAGAAATGAGACACTTTTATGTACACCATCTCAGATTATAAACACCATATATTTTAAGAAAGTATCGTCATTTATTCGCTAATTGACTACCTTTTTTAACAGTACAGTTTGGATAAGTCATATAATTAAAATCCGTAAGTGCTGTTATTTTAATACTCTCCGTTTTGTGGTATTACGGTAGGAAGAAAATTCTTGATTGTTTCTAAACTCTTCAGTTACTGTATTCGTTCGATAAGTACTGTTCAATCCTAAAATGAGTTTAAAATGTGTAAAACTGGTGTATCTTTTGAATAGGCTTCAACACAAATCACCTCCCATGTATGATAATTTGTCAAGAGATCTCAACTTTTAATATCATTATATACTAGTACCAGCGAAAGTTTCAACTAGTAGATATCACATATTGAATGATAAAACTTGTGCTCAGGAACCGATGTTGTCTTCCAGTAACATATTTTTCCATTATTGTAAAAACATAACTAATTTGGTTTCAATTGAAACTACCCTAATGATTTAAAATGTCAGTAATTAGTTAAGAAGAGGCTGTACATTGACTATAATTTAGATAAACTTTTAGAGTTCAATCATTCATTTTATGCACTACAAGTTTATTAAGATTAGGAAAGCCGCTTGTGAGCTGTTTCTAATTGATTGAAGTATTTTCTAAAATCAAATCATTTTAACATGTAATGTGGGGTTGACCACTTCACTTATCTGAGAAGTCGAATCTACCCTTGTACATTGATTGGTCACTGAACGACAATATCTTTGCACGGATACAATGACTCAATTGGCTTTCGTTGACTTACGCCATCTATGTCACCGTCATGATATCCAATCACCTATTAGGGTCGAGTGTACTGTGCTACAGTTCATTCTGTTCTACTGTGTGACTGTACAACATGAAAGTTGAAGGTAGAGGACATGAGAAAACTTCATGTGTTTGACCACCGTCACCTTCGTAGCACAGTCTGTGTTGTAGTGTCACCACATGAGTAACACAGAAATCAGACGTGGAGTTTTAGAGAGTAGAGGTAAGAGAGTTGATACACTTGTGAAACTCCATCGACTGAGATGGTTGGGACATGAGTTAAGTAGGAGTAATCATTATTTGTCTCGTCGCACAATGTTGACCGAAGTATGTTCATGCTGGAAGAAGGCTTGTGTTGGTCAGACTGGAATATGGGGTGAATGTATGCAGTCGTTGACTGTTGTTTTGAGTGATGTAGGGTGAAGCAGATTAGCTGGTTTGGGTTGACATAACAAGAGGGACTCATGGTTGTGGACTGTAGGTGATATGACCCGAAATCAATGTCACTGCATTAGATGTTTCCACAATTTATAGTCATCCTGACTGCTGTACTTAATCTCATCAACTCATTCTCCCTTTTGTCGTTGTTTTCTGATGTTGACGGATTTCCTTCCGTTTCTTCATCTCCATCTTATTGCTTCCTTACTCGTTGTGGTGATATCATGTGGAGCAACTTGAACCGTTGCTCAGTATTACCTAGTCCCATGTTGTTAATAACGGAATTTGATCGATAACACAAAACGAAACTATTCCGATTAAAATTTTATTTGATACCAAAAGGGAACATGCATGCAAGTTGATAAAGTGGATGATCATAAGTTTCAATAACGCTTGATTGCAATTTTTGGGTTAAGCTAAAGACAGCGACTAGTTGACAGTTTAAATTCGGTGACTAAAAGTCTGAAACTACAGCAAACATTCAGCCAAAAATATTTAACATTTAGATTATTTACCATTATTATTTTACCTTTGCGCTCTTAGTGGAACATAGACCTACAGCAGCATGTCGCCATTCTGCTCCCTTCTCCTCAGTCTTTGAACCTAGATCTACGAATACCCACAAACCTTCATTTCTTCCTTCCACGATCTCCTCCATATCACCCTCAGACAACCAACTCGTCTTTCCCCACTTGTCTTCCACTCGACTGCCTGGGCTTGCCTAATACGTGATGTCCCCAAACCGTCTTCTCAGTGTATGTCCAGTCAAGTCAAGTCGAGTCGAGTCTAGTCGAGTCCACTCCAATCCAATCCATCTGTTCTTTCTTCTGGATATTTGTTGGGTGATGGGTGCTTGGTTGGTTCGTTGCCTGCCTGCCAGCCAGCCAGCTGGGGTTTCCATTCATAAATCAGTTGAATGGTTATCAAAAATCAGTGATTTTTGTGTTAAAAAACAAATATTTCCTGGGAAATTTGTTGAGTAATAAACAGTTTTTTTTATTTAAGCTCCTTTCTCAGTTCTCAAAAAGCTTTTTTCTAGAAACCAGATCATTTGTATCACCCAGTTAACTGTTGTTCTCAGAAATACTGTGAATAGCATACATTTTAAACTACGTTTTATTTTCAGAGAAAATAGGAAATCATCCCTTGTCTCTAGGTTTTTCCAGGTGTTGAATATTATGTTAAGGATGAAGTTGGTGTAGTCTGTAACCAATGTTTATCAGTATCATATTTCCAAGCAACTTTGAGTCGTAAGTCATAATTATTATAAAAGATAGTTGAAGAGATTTAATTAGAACTAACTGACTAGGTATACTGACTGACTGATTGACATACTCAAGGTAAAATAATCACACACCGATGCATCGGCTCAATTTGCCACACTTTACAGTAGTAAACAAAGAAAAGGTGGATAGAAAAAGTGTAGTGCGAGAGAATAAGCAATCTAAAGATAAAGGTTAATGCTTTAAAAGATGTCAAGGAGTGAATACCGATTTTCAGCCATTTCATTAAGACTTATCAACCACTGATTCCTTTCGTCTCAGGGACCTCACCCAGGTTGTCTTAACCTCTCTACATGGCTCAGACTGATGGTCAGAGACTTCATCGACTAGTGCCATATTTTGGTCTGACCACCCTGAACCCTCTTTCAACCAAATCCAACTTCCCTCAGTATGGCATGTCAAGGTAGGTGGTGGCTGGGCGTGAACAGTCTATGACCAAGGCATCTTAACCGATGAAAGTTCACAACCTCATCAGTCCAGCGAATTGCCTGTCTCTAATAGTACCTTTCGCCTAATCTCGACATTACTCATACGGTTATTCCACCAAATGCGAGAAATACTACGAAGACATCTGTGATCAAAACCGTGTAACCGCTTCATATCTCCTACTCTTAAGGACTGTATCTCACAGCTGCATAACAGGACAGAATGGACTGCAGTGCAGTAAACTCCTTCTTTGGTAGATATTTGGATATCACGCCAATTGGTGCCATTGATGACGTAAGTTGGCTAGGCTTACTGATTTAATATGGACAAACAGAGTAGATCCACCTTAAGAATTAAATAAATACAAGCATAGTGACAATTAGAGAGTTATTTACAACCGCATAAGTGTAATTCACTAACTTGACCCAAGTTAATCATAACTGATACCTATTTGAAGTGTCACCCAACCCTTCTGATTGTTAGGGTGGTATTCATCACAAAGTGACATCAGCTAGAGAACCACTGAAAACTTGGGAGCACTGGGCACCTTTTTTGTCCTAGAATGGGACTCCTGAGTATTACGCACCTATAACCCGACTAGGGATCGAAGTCAGGACATTGAGGTACATACTGCTGACGAGTCCTATGCTAAGATGAAACAGCTGTTCAATATTTCCAGGTTTTCAATGGTTCTCCAAGTGATGTCATTCCATGATGAATACTACCTTCAAAATAAAATCCCCATAAACCTCATACTATTTTCTGGTTGTGTTACACTTGCTATTGAGAATGTTTTCATTATATATTGTTCTCAGCATTTAAGATAATTGCAAATATTTTCTTTTTGTCTACTAGATAAATAAATCCTGTCTAATTGCTTATAAGTGACTACAATGCCAACAACTTGTGGATTTCCTAATTGTCGATTTCGTTCACGTTATCGTGGGGCTGAAGACAATCGACATTTCTATCGTGTACCTAAGAAACCAGCAGTTTTACGCAAGAAATGGCTGGAAGCAATCGGTAGAACTGAAGAAACTATTGTTAGTCAGGTGAGTTAGTGAACTTATCAGTTTATTTTCCAGGTCTTCATGAGTTACTTGTATGAAATAATATTGAATGTAATTTTCATGATCAACTTTTTATGAATTCAGCTGACTAATTTTACAAGACAATATAATTTATGAATTCATTTGTAGTGGTCAAATTGATAGGTAAAACCTTTTAAAACTGGGTGATGATTGAGGGTGATATGAAAATTTGAACCATAAATGGATTTGAATCAATGACCATCGAGTTTCCAGCTCAATGCTTTACCAACTGAGCTATTTCACATTGTTCTCTGCAGTTTTTGAACCTAGATCTACGAATACCCACAAACCTTCATTTCTTCCTTCCACGATCTCCTCCATATCACCCTCAGACAACCAACTCGTCTTTCCCCACTTGTCTTCCACTCGACTGCCTGGGCTTGCCTAATACGTGATGTCCCCAAACCGTCTTCTCAGTGTATGTCCAGTCAAGTCAAGTCAAGTCGAGTCGAGTCTAGTCGAGTCCACTCCAATCCAATCCATCTGTTCTTTCTTCTGGATATTTGTTGGGTGATGGGTGCTTGGTTGGTTCGTTGCCTGCCTGCCAGCCAGCCTGCCAGCCAGCCAGCCAGAGTTCCTTCTTGCTTATTCTCACTATCCTGGTCATCTGATCTGATCTTCAGTATCGAGTGAGTGTAGGAGACAGCTGTTGATGTATGTCCGTTGCTTGTTGAAAACGCCCTTCATAACGCGCCAAGCTTCTCAGCCATCACATAGAAGCACTGAATTGACTGACATCAATGTCGAAAATCCGGATCTTGTCCTAGTTTTATGCTGAGTGCAGTGCGGTGTGGTGCAGTAGATCTCCACACTGATTTCATACTAATGAGGAAAGGCGTGTCTTGGTGTCTTCCCGATCGTGGCTGTGACATCCTCATCTGTGCCTGTGCCGCCTGTGTTTGAGACAGTGCTGCCTAGGTGTGTATGTGAAAGAGACAATTTCCTTTAGATTTCTCCCGGTGGTGGTGGTGACTGGTGCTTGTTGTTGTTGTTGGATGGGCATCTTCGTCACCTCTGTCTTCTCTACGTTCACCTGAAGAAAGTTCCGTCCTCGCCTGAAGATCTCTGAGCTTTGTGCGACATGAGACATTAGACACAAATTGTGATGGGCGAAATGCAAATCTTCTCGTGTCTTTTCATCGGTTCAGCCAGCGTATGCCCATCTTCTCTCTCACGACAGTTTGTTGCATGATTGAGTCCAGTCCAGTGGACAACAGTCAGGAAGATGATTTGTGATAGTAGGCGGCAACCCTGTTTTTCTTGCCAACCTATGTTCACTTCAAACGCACCACTGTCATTGCGCTTTCCATTGTGAATCACTTGGCATGTAGCATCATCACATAGTTGTTGAATGATTTTGATAAAGCTTTATGTCATAAAAGCCCCGGTGTTGAAACAATTTACTTCTCGGTCTATGCCATCGATGACCTTCTCAAACTCGATGAATTTAAGGTGGAAGTTTGACTGCTTTTCTATACTCTGTTCTATGATGATGCATAGCGGAGCGGGGCGTTGCGTTCTGATCCGCACATGATTTTCTGTTCGTAAATCCAGACTGTTTCGGTCGTAATTTTGAATGCAGAGCATTTTTACTTTCTGCTGCATGATGCGTCTCAATATTTCACCCGGGGTTTACAAGGGTGGGGCATGATTCCACGTCCGATCTTGCGACTACTTAGGTCTCCCTTCTTTGGGAGTTTGACAAGGTAGCCTTTCTTCCACTCGGCAGGTATTTTTCTTTCCTTGCTTCCTTGCCAACCGTCTACAATAGAGGTGTAAGTATGTCTGCTGTTGTCTCTCAGTATGTATTCATTGCTTTTGGAGGAATTCCATGTGGTTCCGCTGCTTCCCGGATTTCAGGAGCTTTAAGGCTTTCAGGACTTTGGCTTTTGTCGCGGGGTTTTGTTCACTGATAGTTCTGTGGCTGCTGGAGACATTTCTGGACGAGTTGCAGGTGGTTGTCGATTCAGGAGTTTTCTGAAGTTGTCAGCGTATTTCCTCTCTTGTTTCTCCTTTTTGGTAACTAAGTCTCCTTTACTACCTCTCATTTCTTTCCTCTGTTTTGATCTCTTCCAAGAGAGTAGCTTGGTTATTTCATATAATGTTGTTACGTCTCTCCTACCTGCAGCCTGTCCTGCTTCACTTGCCAGTTTGTTGTAGAAGTGTCTTTTGTCTCTGCGCGCATCCTTCCTCGCTTCTTTGTCCATTGTTTTATACGTTGTGTTCAGTTCCTCTTTTTATTGTTCATCCCTGCTTTTCACTGATTCATCTTCTGCTTTACTATCTTCTTTTTCCTGTTGTATCAGGTTCCATGTGTCCGTCGACATCCATTCCTTGTCTTGCTTCTTCTTCCTTCCTGAAGTGGATCTGATTTTTAGTGTAGTGTGTCCATCTGTTGAAATCAAATCCATGTCACTTTGTGAATATCCTTGTGTTTCTACACACTTCCTCCAAGTACCAAATCATTAGATGCACAGAAGTCTGCCAACAGTTCTCTATTCTCGTTCATTTCACCGAGCGCTTCTCGACCCTAGATTGCTTCTCTCCCTGTGTTGTCTGCTCCCAGTTTGGCACTTACGTCACCTCATTCATTAGAATTTTGATGTCGTCAAATGGAGTGGGGTCTTGTCCAGTACTGATTCCAGTTTTCTGTAGAATTCTTCCTTCTTTTCTTCATTCGCATTATTTGTAGGTGCGTAGCATTGAGTGATTTTCGCTTTCCTTCCTTTTGAGTTGAATCTTGCTGTCATGATCCTACAAGAGGAGACTGGTCCCCGCTGCATGAGAGCCTTGGATACTCTTGGGGACATCATGATAGCCACTTGAAAACTCAATGTGCCTGTAGTTGTCGTCTGGGTGACTACATCGAAGTAGATTATTGACTCTCCAGTTGACAGTTTGGAGAGCCCACTTCCAGTCTACTTGGTCTCGTAGATTCCTAGCACTTCAATGCTATACCTTCTCATCCCCTTTGCAATCTTCGCAGACTTGCTAGGTTCAAACATAGTGCGGACATTCCACTTACCCATATTTACTTTCGCTTTCATCGAAAGGAGAGAAGGCATATAGGCCAATTGGCTTCCCGAAGGCTTTCACCAACTGGCGTCATTTCGCCTCTCCGATTCCAGTGATGAGTAAGTTTATTTTTATTTTTTACATTTGTTTCTGCTGTGAAGTTTCTCTGGCGAATGGCTTGATTTTCTGGGTTAGGGTTGCTAGCCCCACGCCAAACCTTCCCTCTCTCTCCGGCTTATGACCGGCTAGTAAACAAGTGAACCAGTAGACTAGGGGAGGTTATCTTTTCACATGGAGACTATGAAATACCAGTACTTTATTCGGCAATACCTAGGTGTCTAGAATGAATGACACCAAACTCCAGCCAGCTAACTGGCCAATATTCATCCACTTCTATCGATCCTAACTATCTTTCAGATGCAACTGAATCTCGATTATCAGAACTACAGCATAGCTGCATGTTTATTTTCGTTTTAAAAATGTAAAATTGTCTTTGAAAGTTCCATTCGACTAGACTTCTACTCTTATTCTGTTTAGCTACGTGTGTGCAGTGGTCACTTTTATGGTGGAGAAAAACACGAAGGGGATGTGCCAGTCGCTGATCCATCAATTGATGAACCGGTTCGAGTTGAATTACCGCCAAAGATACCTCGTATTCAATCAACATTGAACAAAAGAAATTGTTATGGTATTCGTGGCGGTAGTGGTGGTGGAAGTGGCAGTCGAGGAAGAGGAACTCATCACACTCAAGGAATACGAAATAAAATGTGTTTTTTAAAATCAGGCATATTAAATTACGTGACAAAACACAATAATTGTTTAAACATGATGGGAGGATTGAAACAGAAGCATATAACATTGAATTCAACATCAATGAATTCTGCACTTAGAAATGACTGCAAAATGAGAAATAATGAACTAATTAACATGAACAATGTTAAAAACAATAATTGTCCGTTAACATGTTTTAATGGTTTATATCCTGCTCATATTTATGACTATTTAAAATCGATTTCAGCAAATACTTCCCCATCTTCTCTCTCGGGGCAAACTATAAATAATAATAATAATAATAATAATAATAATAATAGTACTGTTAACTGCAGTAATACAGGGAAGAGATATCTTTATGAAACAGAAAAGTATTTCAGTCCAACTTCTATCGGTGGAGATCAATCTGTGTTGGACAGTTATTCACATCAATTTAGTGATCGACTTCAAGATAAATGTATACCACAGATGAATAATTCTACATGCCTATCTTCTCAATCGACACCAACAGTTTGTTTAACGAATCTAATCCAAAATGGAGATGAAATTAGACAAAAAGCATACAGTTCAGCATATATTTATAATCAACAATATTCTGCATTCTCTCCAATATCAAGTATTGTGCAAAACAGTAATATAAACAATAACATCAACAGTAATCTCGCTAGTAACTATAGTAATCGAATGAAGTCTCCATTATTTTCGAACAAAGAAGAATTACGATTTAACTGTTCAGTAGATGATTCAAATCAGTTCCCTTCAACAGTTTCATTACCATATGAATCATATTTATCACCAGAGTATTTTCTGTCATTAGCTTCAGTTATGAATGGTGTTTTAACACAGAAATTTACTGAAGATTATTTGAACTCATGTAAATTTCAGCAATATATAACAGGTGGAAATCAAAAGTATGTAGAGTGTTCGACTAATTTAAAGGATATTCCTACAAAGATGAAGACTAATTTAAATTTGGACAATGCAAGAAATTGTAAATTGAATCCTGTATCGACTTTTCCATTTAACACTGTGATTACAACGACTATTTCTAAAGATACTTCATCTGCTGGTGATTTCAGTGAAGTTAAAAACTTCTCAATAAAGTCTGAGGATTTTATGAGGACTCCAAACTTATCAAAAGTTATTACCAAAAATGAGTTATATTCTTCATGTCATTATGAACAAAACAATGAGGCAGTCATAAATGATATCTGTAAGAATAATACTAATGATTCTAAAGTGATCACTTTTTCGAAGTCTGATTTTGTGAATCAATCATTACTCTGTTATCCTTTGGCGTTAAAAGGTCGGTTTTTTTCTCTAGAAGTGTCTTTTGATCTCTACAACTCCTTCTACTGTTAATTTTAGAGGTAGCATTGATCACGGACTGACATCATCTAGAGAACCATTGAAAATCTCGGAGAAATGGATAGCTGCTTCATACTAGCATTGGAATCCTTAGCTTCACTATGAATATCTCAACGTTGTAAAGAGAAACCGTTACCTGTGCAGTCAACCAGTTGGAAATCAAAGGAATACCGACCAAAGACTTTGGTGAGGTTGCGTACTGCTGAAGAATCCCCTATAAGGACGAAACAGCTGTTCAGCGCTCCCGGGTTTCCAATGTTCCTCCAACTGATGTCAGTCTATGATGTATACCGACTTGATAAAAAAGGTTAGGTGATATCCTAAGACAATAATTTCTAGCCACCTACAAAAACAAAACGTTTGCATATTTACCATGTACAGAACAGTACAACCTCGCCTGGCTAATTAGTTCATTAGTTACTAGCTGGTCCTAAGCACGGGTAAAGAGGGAAGGTTGAGCATAGGGATAGCAACCCTACCCCGTAAAACCAATCCAACCACTACAGGCAAAAACCAACAAGTTGACAGAAGAGGCAGCGAAAACGGGACTTCAAGTGAATGTAGAGAAGATAGAGGTGATGAAGATACCCAGCTAACGCCACCACCACCAACAACAATCTCCAATCACCAATCAACGGGAGAAACTTAAAGGAAGTATCCTTTTTTTACCTTTCTAGGTATCACTGTTTCAACTACAGGCGGCATAGATGAGGACGTCAAACCAAGGATCGGAATGACAGCAAGACAGGCGCTCATTAACTTGAAACCAGTGTGCAGATCTACCACACCTTACTCAGCATAAAGAACAAGATCCGAATTTGAAACACTAACGTCAAGTCAGTGTTCCTATATGGTTCAGAAACATGGCGTGTCACGAAAAGCATTTCCAACAAACTACAGACATTTGTCAACAACTGCCGCTTACGCTCGTTCACTCGATAGTGAAGATCAGATCAGAAGGCTAGAAAGAATAAGCAACAAGGAACTCTGGCTGGCTGGTAATGAACCAACGAAGCAAGAACCTATCGCTCAACAAATATGCAGTAGAAGGAAGTGGAGATGGATTGAGCACACACTGAGAAGGCCAGCTGAGGACATCATGCCCCAGGCCGTCGAGTGGAACGCAGATGAGAATTGACGAGTTGGGCGTCCGAGGTGAGGGTGACATGGAGGAGATGGTGCGAGGAAGAAATGAGAGCTTGTGGGCAGTCGTGGAGCCAGGTTCAAAAGATTTCAGAGAACAGGGTGCACTGGAGACGTGCTACTGAAACCCTATGTTCCACTAGGAACCCAAGGCACAAATAATAATCATATAATATACAGAATAGTATTCTCTGATTACATCTGTATTTGAAGAATACTAACAATAACTATTTAACTATTTGTTATAAGTTAAATTAGTCAGTATCTTTTTATCTATCGGTGATGAATTCAATTTCATTATTCAGAATTACTGACGGTTTCTTAGATCCCAACTAAGTGGTTAAAAAGACCTTTAACTCCAGTAGTATCTTACAATGCTGGGAGTTTTTCTGAAGACTTCAACCATCTAAAGAATGCTGATGAGTTTCATCAACTGTAAAACGTTGACTACAAACATCTTAATATGTTCTGTTAACTACTCAATAATACAGCTGCTAAAAAGTCTTTAGTGATGTCATTTTTCTGATATATATATATATATACTAGAGGTTGTATATGATAAGAACTTCTACGAAAATAGTTCAAATGGATTTCGAAGTTAAACAGTTAATTAATAGTTAGGAGAACATTGAAGAAAAATCTGATAGCCTTCTGTTAGAGGTAATTTTTTAATTCCTAAAATGATAGAAACTCTTTAACAAAATATTTTACTTGTTTCAACTGATTTTTTTCCAAAAACCTTGAAAATTCCATCAAATAGGTAAGCAAACAGTTGATTAGGGTTAAATTCCAGCATGAAATTAATTATAGGGTTATTTTACGTGTAATTAAAAAAAAGTGGAACTGGTTCACATATCCATTGCCTGATGAAAGTATATAATCTGTGCATAATTAATAACTTTGCTTTATTTTCTATGAACAATGTTTCCTATTAGTAGGCATTATTATCTCAGCAATATGATTCAAACGGTTACTTCATCAATTAGGAACTTCTTTAAAGCATAAATCAAAATGAAATATTTCCACTTTTATCTTTGTGATATCCTGCTAGCCTGTTGTCCTTAGTGACTTTATTCTCTAAAGTGTAGTCTCAGTTTGAGAACTCTATAAATGGAAATCTATTATCTCCCTTTTTGTAATCTAAATAAAACTGTCATTTTTGGCAAGCTATGAAGCTTATTTACCTATGTGAAATACAGAGGGATTGGATTCTGACCCTGCGGTAACGTGCTGACCCTAGGTTCGATCCCTGGCGAGTTCATGGGTGCGAAGTGCTGATGAGTCCTATACTGGGATGAAGCAGCTCTTCAAAGCTCTCAAGTTTCCAATGTTTCTTCAACTGGTGTTAGTCAGTGATGAATATCAACCTGAAATCAAAGTTTGCTGTTTGTTAAAAAGGAATTTTTGGACATACTCAATCCAATACATAACACCTTAACTGTTAAATGGAAACAACAGAAATTTCTAAGAATCTAGCTGATACTAAATTGAAATCGTTTAAAATAAATGTATTGGAACAAGGATTTCCAACCACTTTAGAAATATGATATTGTCTCAAGGTTTTTGAATAAAGAAGAAACTAGTTAAAAGTGGTAAAAAGTTGTAGAAACAGAACAATGACCTGAAACTATTGATTTCGGTTGTCAAATGGTCTACAATCCAGGAGTATAACTTTCCTTACATGGTTCAAGCCAACATTCAGAGGCTTCATAGATTGATATAATCTTTCAGTGCGACCACTTTTAACCTTTTTTCAATCAATATCGCTCAGTGAGGTAGATGGTGGCCAGGTAAGCATATTACATATCCCAGCCATTTGAGTCGACGAAGGTTTGCAACCTAACCAAAAGACCTACCTCTTGTATCCGAAGGTCTACACCTGACTTCTGCGTTTATTCTATGAAGGTGGTGGTGGTTGAAGGTGTCTCATATTTTTCACTTTTGATAGCCGTATACATGAAAACAGAACTTACTGTTAGATGCAGTTTAAATGGTTGTGTACTTAAGCATTCATAGTAATTACTTGTTTCTTAAAGTTCCACGGATTCCAATGTATTTAAACATCCTATGAACTTACCATCGCTGGTGAACTATTAGACCATCATTATAGCATACTTGCTGACTTCAGGCATTATGGGATATTCGCAATGAAATGATGGTTTTCTTACACCTACTATCAATTCAGCTGCAGCATTTTAACTGTGTCACTTATACTGTGGAATAATTTTGTTATTGTCTTAGTTACCCATTAACACTGAACTGCTTACAGCCTAGTTGATTGTTTGTTTAAAGTCATTTATCGCTAAAAATGATATACAGTAAAAATGCTCATTATTTAAGCTGGTCTATAAGTAATTTCTGTAGATTAATTATCTACGTCGATCGTTATTATTGGATAGAGTAGTTGACACGTTAAAGTTATATCTTGATGACGTTATCATGTACAAATTATAATTTATTTCATCTTGCAGAGACTGCCATTGGGGAATGAATTTGATACACTTTACGAGTATGTACTATACTTAAGGGAACACTTTGATCAAGTTTGAATGGAAATATCTGCAGTGCATAAACTTAGTTTATTATCGAGCTGTTTTATATACTAAGTTTCTTAAATGTACCAATACTAGAATATCAGATTCATATTTCATTCTTGGTCCCAATGGAAGGTATTGTCACACTGACCTTGATTAAGAAAATGAGCCAAAACGTAAATTTTTCTAAGAAATACTGAAATGTATGGTAAGTATTAAGCACTGAGTAAAATGTTGAGACTAGATGTAGTTTGTATTTGTGCAAGTCACAGTGTGTTTGAAACGAAAGAACTTCAACGTTTCTTCTGGAAGTCTGGTCCAAGCTTCTTCAGGTAATTGTTGTTCTGTGGATTTTCATGAATATTCAAGACTGGTATCAGAATGATGATTAATTCCTGTTACTCGAACTCAAGTTGTTAGTGCGTCCAAACAGTAGAAATAATACTAATGAGATGAAGTAGAGTTGTGGCCCAGCCAGCAGGTGGCGGGCTCGAACCCCGTTCCATCAGCCGTCATTATGGGAACCAATTAGTACCACTAGTTATGACACAACAAAGTATGGTACGGTGCCTACTGCATGGACTTGCATGTAGTCACCAAGATGATTTCGATTTTTCGCTCAACTGGGATATAGTTAACTTTTCTATGAGTTAATTTAGTTGTCATGCGTTCCATTTTGTTTAATGATGAGCTGTTTTACTGTTATACATTTGATAGTGATCTGCTTAGATATCTTATGGCTTTAAATTTTGTACAATTTGAGTCACGACCACCTAGTCGTGACTTACTTTACTTAAATTAAATTTTGAGTTGACTCCATTTTTTGTACAAAACAGATTTCTGGGTATTGAATATTAATTGAGCATATGATTTTATTTTTCAGTAGGAAGGGAAGAAGAGAAATTTGATAAGCAAGAAGGCGTATTTTCCTTGAAATCACCAGTTCAGTATGTTGTTTTCATTGGAATTGATGAGCTATCTATTGAATCACCTATTCTCCATGATTTAATGAATTTGATATGTGTTGGATATTCAGAGTTAACAAATCTACCTGAGCATGTGAGTATATAACTAAATGTTTCCTATTGTGATTATGAAGAGATCAGCACGGATTGTTTAATATAATGACTGTTATTTATGCTTTTTTAAGTTCTATTAGATAACCATTATTTTCTGGAATCAGTGTTGATACGGTTATTTGTTCTCATCCCAGGACAAGGTGAATCATCTAAACGCAAAATTAGTTCACTTTTCAGAATAAGAAAAAATGCAGAAATACCATTTACAAGAATGTGATCGATAGGAACTTGCATTATTGATGTTGTAATAATAATAATAATAATAATAATAATAATAATAATAGTAACAGTAGTGATAACATATGTACTTTTTTACGAATGATAATTATGTTTACAGTGCAGAATTACATCAGTTTGCCCATTGTACAGATTTTTTCGAATATGTATTAACAATGGTGCTGTAATGATAATATTATTGTTGAAATGTTTAATGACTTCAGGGACATGATTACTGTTCGCTGTTGAAAATTTGATTGATAACACCATCATTTGACTATCTGAGATAGCCGTAGTTTGGCAGACTAGTATTTATACTGAGTGATGATTGAAGGTGAAATGAAAATTTGGACCGCGGCTAGATTCGAAGCAGCGACCATCAGGTTCCTGGCCTGAAGCTCAACCAACTGAGCTACGAGGTCATTTGGAAACCCGGTGGTCGCTGGTTCGAGTCTAGCCGCGGTCCAGATTTTCATCTCCCCTTCAGTCATCACTCACTATGATAAGACTATGTCTAACGAGATTTTCTTCACATAATACATAAATGAAATAAGGTTTGGTTGAATTTCTGCATGTAGCTGCTCGTGTACTTAGTTTAATATACTTGCCTTTCGTTTTCTAGGAATAGATATGAAAAGAAGTATGGGTGCAGAAAATGCTTGTCATCAGATGAAATATTTTTAGCTAATAGTCTATAAGAGTTCAGGTGTATATCCATGACTGCATTTATCAGCTTGGTTAGGGTTGTGCTACCTGTTCTACTAACAGCCTTCAAAATCCTATGCAATACATCGTCTTTTTTCCTGAGTACTGGAAAAAATAAGAAGGAACAATAAGTAAGTGTAGGCAAAACATATAAATTAATGAAAAGTAAGAGTAGAGGTTGAGTTATGCAAGACAGTCTGAGTTTCCTTATATTAAAGGTTAAGTGAACGATTGCGCTGGAAATCAGTAAGATGTTGGGGGGACCAAGGAAGATCAGAAGAAAAGCATAGGCCAAGATGGATCACGCTTGCTACATTCTCTACAACACAGCTATCTACAAGACAAGAGTCATGGGACTGAAGCAATGTGCAAGGTCTTTTCCGCGTCTTAGTCTAAAATCAACTATCTGACATTTGTAAGGATTGAGTGTGAGGCCATTTAGGGAAGACCAGTAACCACTTTCGTTTAAGAAGTTATTAAACTCAGAACAATCTTAAAAGGAAATGATTGACATGTATACTGCTAGGTCTTCAAGATGCTTAACAAAGTTAGCTTTTATTGAGGTTGGTAAGTCATACAAAAGAAACAGAAAAGGAAAGGAGAAAGAACAGCACCTTAAGGCACACGGGCTTCACTAAACAGCGAAGTAGAGTGTTTCCCTCTGTATACTGTCTTCCCTTAGGAAAATATGAATCTATCCAGTTTGCAATCCAAGACTCAATGTGAGTCTAATAAGTGAGTTTAATTAGGGGGATCTAAGGGTAGAAGTATAATCTAAGAAGAAAGATCTAACACACTTATCACCTTTATCTAAACTGGCAATAATATTATGAAGTAAAACAACTGCAGCATCTACAGCACTCTTTCTGGGTCTATAGGCGAATAGGTTTAGATCTCCTAAAGTCTCCAGAGGAGGTTCGAGCACATGAAGCAACAGTTTTTCTGATTGCTTATAGGAATGGCGAGGTTATGAGTAAGGGTGAAGTGAAAATCTTGGCCATAGGAGGATTCAAACCATTGGCCTTCATGTTATCAGCCCGTATGAAGTTTTTTTAAAGTTTGGGATCAATTCAACTGCATTAAAAGAGAGAAAATTCTTTAAAAACCGGTTCCTTTTATTTCAAGTCTTCATCTCTAGACCATTTTAACTGAATAAGCATTCTAACCACTAAATAATAAGGCTTCAGGCTTCAGTATGAGAACTCAAATAATGTTAAAGCCTAGACAACTTCATGTATTTCTAAGGTGGTTATTTTCAGATAAGCCTAAGTAAAGATTGTTGGTTAGTTTGAAGGTTATTTCTATCATCGAAACTGTGAATATCCAAGCCATAAATGTTCAACTTGCCTTGCGTATGCCATTCAGCATTTAAACAGTAATACCAGTACATTGTTAGTTTACCAAATCAAGGATCTTATTTTCTGGTTAATTTAATCATAGATCTATTGAAATATCATGTGAAAAGTGACAATAGAACACTAAAAAGGGTTTGGAATAAGCTGCATTTCACAACCTCTAATCTGATGTCTAAAAGTCGACAAGTAAAGAATTCGGGTAACATAATGAATTAACTCTTGTTTACCTACCCTAAACCTAAATGTATACAGATCGTGATAAAAAAATTACCCTTTTAGGATTTGCAACAGGCTAACAGCAAGCATATATATATATATATATATATATATATATATATATATTGTAATTTCAACTAGGCTTGTTAAATCCTTTTTCTTTTTTGCTTGTTACGTAAACTCATACCACTTGTTTGTCTATAAAAACTGAATGTAAGCTATAAATATTTTTCAAAGGTACACTTATTAACACATAGAACAGTATGTATTATTTGATGGATACATTTTCATCAAGATGGTTTTTCTCCTTTACTAATCATTTCCTTCAATCTGTCTATAATAATAGGAAATAATTCTCATCTCATCCAAATATGTAACATTAATGTATTGATAATTCAAATTTTGTTGAAACTGCTGAACTTGTTCTTACTGACAAAAATAATGATAGAATCTTTTGCATGTTCAATCATCAAGATAAAAAAATATTGTTGTTGTTGTTTAACTGGAACAAATGATTATAATTATCATATAAATAATTTATTTTTGAGATGAATGGGGATTTTTAATTTTGAGGTAGTACTCATCATGGACTGATGAGAGAGCCATTGAAAACCTGCAAGGATTGGACAGTAGTTTCGTTCCAGTATGGAACCTTTTCATTAGTGACATGCTTCCAGATGGATATCATGAAGTTCTTATGAGAAGCCATGGCCTATGGGATCAACAAGTTTAAAGGGAAGTGGATACTATCTGAAGACCTTGGATGATAGTCGCGCTATATCAAGAAGCATTAACCTGCAACCTAGTGACTGAATGGTTAATACGTTCACTTTTGAAACCTCAAGGTCCTGAGTTCAGTCTCTAGCAGGGTGGTGAGTAAGTACTACTGAAGAGTCTCATAACAAAACAAAACAGCTGTCTAGCGCTACCAGGTTTTCAATGGCTCTCCAGATGATGTTAACCTATGGCGAATATTACCACAATATCAATAATAATTTTTTTTAATTAGAGAGAAATTGTATTAAAATTTTCAACTTATAAAGAAATTGAAATAAACTAAGTGATTAGAATGGAGAAAATAGCAATTTTAATTATTTACTGAATTATATATAAAACGTAAATTATTTTCCTTTTCTGTTGAACATTTAAGGTATGCCAAAATGTTTCAGATTTAGTTACCTATCAGGAAAACCTGTTATCAATTGAATATTATCAATACTTTCCATCCTTGAAAAATGTTTATATACCTGAGTGTCTGGTTTATACAACTTGTTGGAGTGAATTTATAAATCTTGGTGAGTAGAAATAATTTTAAGAAAAATATACTAATTTCTTTTAATGTTAAAAAAAAAAAGATAATAAATATTTTATTTTCATGTTTTATAATACTTTTTACGAAAAAATTGTTAGATCAACATATAAACAGTTTTAAAGTATCAAGTAGTAACAGTTATCTTGGACAGTTTCAAGATCCTAACAACGCATTCTTGTCTACAATCAAATTGAAGGTACTCAAAGTAAATAAGTACTAAAAACAATCTAGTAGTTTAGTATCGGATGTCAAGAGTCAGTTGGCCGGAATTCTTTAACTTAAGTTTCTCATTTATTAGTGTTCATCATTAACCGTTAAGGAACTGTTGTTCTGACAATGATCAGAACCCAGAGACCATCTATAGGATTGATTTATGAACTTGATCCAGTCCTATGGGTGGTCTGTCGTGACTTGAATGTTTAAGCGCTAAAGCCTTTGGATTCAAAATTAGGTGAGGTAGGTTATGACTGACATCGTAACACTAGTTTCAGTGCTTAGTAATAAGAAATGGACTGTTATATCGGTTACCTACTAGTGACCAGCTCACGTACAGTCAAGTATGCAGGCAATGTGTTCTTCAATATCTTTTATGCCGTTATCTAATGAAGGTATATTTCGGATACTCGACGGTGATTATGAAGAACGATAGGATAGTTTAAGCCACAGTGTAGGCAGTACAAAAGGAATAGATGTACATATATATGCCCGCTAAACAGAAGCAGGGAAACGAGACGTACGGAAGATATGTTCAGTGATGCATACTATTGGGAATGTTCACACTAGCAAAACAAATTTTCTCAAAGTTTCCTGATAATCAGTACTTTATATTGTTCAGGTTACTCAACTTTTCCAGTCAAGAAAATTTCAGTCATTTCAAAGAATACTTATTATGCTAATTTACTTGTTTGTGGCTAGCAGAAATATCCAGGATGCGCATTTCGTCCTATTTGGGACTCCGCAGCTAAATATACCTGCACTCAGTGAGTGATGTTGTTCCCGCTGAGATTCAAGCCGTCACCCATTGCTTCAAACACCAAAGCGTTATCCAGTAGACCACTTAGGAACAATAGCGACCTCTTGTACAACGAGTACTAGTAATAACTATTTGTTGACATATAAATCATTCACTGAGATGCAGGTACACCCGGCTAATGAGTCCAGTACGGGACGAAACAAGAAATCCTGAATTCCTCTGCCAGCCATAACCAAGTAAACAACCATAATAAATATCTGGGCAATATCGAGTCATCCGCATAGAAGCTCATAGGGTCAAATAATTTGATCCAGGATCTCAACGGAGAACTACAAGTAGATCGACAAATAGTTATTTTGAAGGATTTTGCAACTCACCTGGTGAGTTATCCACATCCTTTGATGTGGAAAGGTTCTCAGTGTTTGGTCATAGTAAGTCTACTAGCCTTACGGACTCAATGCAAAATGGTCTATGGAATTCGATCAACAAATAGGACTAGACAACATAAGGTTGGTACCTCCGAACAATTAGTCAGTGTGTCTGATTCAGACCTAATGGGGGCCCATTGCACCCATAACAGCTCACTGGTTACACCTTTAACTGCAGCACTGGTTGGCATGCGTTCAAATCTCATGTGGGACATCAGTTCCATCTAGGTTGTAGATATGCCTTCCTGATCAGTCCTGAAAAGTACGAAACCTAGGTGAAGCAGTGATACCTGTCAATTACTCCCATCTAACTAACGTCGTTCTCAATAAATGTCTAAGTAAACACTTCCAGTTTTATGATTCAGTTTTCCATTGTCTTGTAATTCAGTCCTCTTTATGCTAGTTTTTGAACGTAGTGTATTTCGAGACACTGAGTGATAAAGCTTCATTGATGTGATGATTTCTTTAAAATGGCCGTTTACACTTTGTATGCGGCTTTTAAAATTTCGAGAATGTAGCCAATAGTTTCTTATTCTTCTCACAAATTCATTGGTAACTGAACACAATAGGCGTCAAGTATTGAAAATCTTTGTCTTTGTGAACAAATCTTCAACTGCAATAAGGATTAAAAAACACAACTTGCTAGTTTATAACTTCAACTATTTATCACACTTAGCCGGGACCATTTTTACGTCTGGATAGTGAATTTATCAGTTAGAAATGGAACAGAGCACGCGGTAAGGAAATTTTAATGCCTACACCACTGCCTACTGTCTTTTCTGAGAAATTCTTCATTTAAACTTCTTTGTTCTCGTTATTGAGGGTCAGTCAGTAGAACTTATCTTAAACTATACTAATGATGGGCCGTGGCTAGCAGTGGAGTCCAGGATGCGCGTTTCATCCTATTTAGGACTCGTTAGCTGGATGCACCTGTCTCGCAGTGAACGATGTTGTTCCCACTAGGACTCGGATTCGGAAGCGATTGCTTCAGATACTAGAGCATTATCCACTAGACCACCGAGCCATGATAGCCACTTTTTGTGCAACGGGTATAGTTTTATCGTTATTGCTTGTATTACGCCGTCGTTGATTAAACCAAATTGATCAGTCTCTGTTGGCATATGAGCTCCTGTGTAGATGCCTCATTACTGCCTGTGTTTTAATGATGTATAGTAATGAATTGGCTATCATGGCTCGGTGGTGTAGTGGGTAGCGCTCTGGCGTTTGGAGCGATCGCCCCCGAGTCCGAGTCCCGGTGGGAACAACACTGCGAGGCAGGTGCACCCAGCTGACGAGTTCTAAATAGGTCGAAATGCGCATCCTGGATTCCACTGCTGGCCACTACCCATCATTACTATACATAGTAATATACGGGCAATATCGAGGCATCCGCACAGAAGCCCATATGCCAACGGAGACTTATCAATTCGGTCCAATCAACGACGGTGTAATACAAGCAATAACACTAAAATTATCCTAAACTGCCAACAATAACGTATGTTACATTCAAATATTAAAAGAAAACAGACATGCCGATTTATTTTTCGGTTAATGAATGGGAGATTTGTAACACTTGTGAAGTCGCTTTCCATCCCATTGACAGTCGACCTCCGAGATATTTTGGTGTTATGCAGAGAATTCTGAAGCTAGTGAAATCCCGACCGATAGCTGCTACCTTGACGTGGTGGTCGGGCTTGCATATCACAATGACCCAACGAGCTATGCTGGTGGAACGCTTGTTCCCTCGAGGTCCTACCATACCAGAAAGGTCTTTGGGTAGTGGTTAGACGAAAAGCAGTTACCGTATAGTGTAAATTGCTACTATGATGGGGTCTGAGGGCGAAGTCGTACTGCTGCTAGCTGGATGGGGTGTGACAGCAGTAAGGTGTTTCCCTTGGATGACCAGCAGTGCCAAGCTGATGCTGCCTTCTCAGTGGAAGGGGGGGTTAGAAAAGGTCGGCCCCAAAAATAACACACTCCACCACGCCCCACGGTCTGCCGGGCCGGCGGTGTTGGTTCACTTGTCGTTTCCTTTCGCTCATCCGGCCCCAAAAATACAAAAATTCAAAATAATCATACTCAAAAGGCTGGGTGTGACAGGCCTCAAGCAGATGTCCGATGGGCTCTGCGGTCACACAAATCTCTTTCAGGTACCTTAAGAAGAAATAGCCTTCCACGGTGTGGGCAGCCGGGAAGTGTCAACCGCCCTCACAACTCTGTCAGCACCCAAGTTTCTTCTGACTGCTATCCTCCTCCTCCATCATTACCTTCTAATCTTCCTTCACGTCTCTTAATTAATGATGCTGCATCATCTTCAATTTCTCCTACCTCTGCAGCCTTCGACAACGATCTGAGTCCACAGAACAGCATCCCTGGTCTCCTTAAACCACGCTCCAAATTACATATTGGAGCCTTCAATGTCCGCACCCTCCGTCAAATTGGCCAACAGGCTTCGTTGGCAAAGACTCTAGCAACTCGGGCATGGATGTGTGCTGTGTTTGTGAGACACGCATACAGGACCCAAGTGTGGTTATTCACCTGACCTCTCCTGACCAATCTGGTGAATCTGCAAAATTCACCCTTCGAGTTTCTGGAGATTCGATAGCTAGCTCTCGTGGTCTTGCAGGTGTAGGTATAGCATTAAGCACCAGGGCAGAAAACTCACTACTAGACTGGATCCCAGTTGATAGTCGCCTCTGCGCTATGAGGCTGAACGGCACAGTGAGAACTAAAAGGAATAGTGAGACTCGCCGTTGTCTCTTTGTAATCTCTGCTTACGCACCACTGACTGTAGTTCGGATGAAGTGAAGGACGAGTTCTACCAAACTGTCTAACCTCCTCTCGAAAGCCAAACGTTCGGAGTGGTTGTTGCAGGTGACCTCAACGCACAGGTGGGTAGACTGAGTGAGGCAGAAAGGCACTTAGGTGGCACTTTCGGAATCCCAGCTGAACGTACAGATAACGGTGATCGCCTATTACAACTATGCTCAGATAACCGCCTATTTTTAGCCAGCACAAATTTCAGACATAAAGAAAGGCATGTCTGACCTGGCGTCCACCGAGCTCATCAGCGATGGACACAGATAGACCACATTGCTATTAGTCATCGCTGGAGAGGATCGGTGGAAGACTGCCGCTCCTTCTGGAGTACGTGTTTGGACAGCGATCATGCGTTGGTCCGAGCACGTATATGCCTGCGTCTCAATGGACGTAGAAAAAATTGGCAACAAAACCACTACGAGTTCTGCTGGACAACGAAAACACCAAAGCCGTGTTCAGTGAGAAGTTGGCTAGGCAGTTATCGGAACAAAAACTGTCACTCATCCAGAAGAAGCTTGGTGCCATCTTCAGTCTACTGTAAAAGCAGCACTGGAGACTGTAGCCGACTCCAAGATAATGGCTAAAAAGAGCCAGTGGATATCAGCAGCTTCTTCCAAACTAATGGATGCACGTGAATGCATCCCTGCAGGCTCTGAGTACAATGAAGAGCGAGCGCAACTTAAAAAAACTGACGAAAAGTCTGCGCAACGATCGTGAACAGTGGTGGGCAGCAAGGCTAAGAGATGGAAAAGGCAGCGGCGA